CTGCAAACTAAATTCTCTCTTTTCTGAGCAAAACAGTTGAGGAAGTTCATTCAAAAACCAGCCATGAAAATTAAGACATAATCAAACCAAATGTTGCAGAAGACAGGCAAAGTTCCATACATTAGGGGCCATAAAGTCAGTCTAATATGATAGGCAAACAATTATTCAATAAGTTAATTGAAGTTGTGATAAACATAATATGAGAAACATATGCCATGTTCTGAGAATGTATAAAATGGGAACTCTCCCTAATTTGGTGTCAGCAAACCGTGAGTTATTTTCAAAGAAACCATCACACACTTTTATTTTTGAAAAAACTTAGTTGTAAGCCTGGAGTTATAGCTAAAACTTGGTTTATAAGAGTTTAATATCTTTATCACTTCTTTTCTAGGATAATTTTCAAACTTAATAGTTATCTAGTGTTAAGTTCTTCATAGTCTTAGGGGTTGGTTTTGGTATGTGTATTTTCCTTACTCAGCAATAACAGGCAGACTTGAAATCATTTCACACTTTGTATCTAAGATTTCTGTAATAAAATATTAATTTCCATCAATTAGTTAAAACACACCCATTAATAATATTACCTAAATCTATGTTAAATGTCCAATTAAATATTTTTAAGTGCCAAATTTATAACTGCTGTAATTTTTTGTTGTTTTTAGTTTGAAGATAAAAGCCTAGCTTCATGTATCATTGATATTAGCCACTCTGACAGGTGTGAGGTAATATCTCATTATAGTTTTGATTTGTATTTCCCTGATGCTGAGTGATGTTGAGCATCTTTTCATGTATCTGTTGGTTATCTGGATGTCTTCTTTGGAGAAATGTCTGTTCATGTCTTCCCATTTTTTAATTGGATTATTCATTTTTTGGATGTTGAGTTTTATAAGTTCTTTATATATTTTGGATATTAACCCTTTATCAGATATGTCATTTGCATAGATCTTCTCCCATTCCATAGGTTGCCTTTTACTTTTGGTGATAGTTTACTTCACTGTGCAGAAGCTTTTTATCTTGATGAGGACCCAGTAGTTTATTTTTGGTTTTGTTTCCCTTGCCTCAGGAGACATAGCTAGTAAGAAGTTGCTATAGCCAATGTCAAAGAGATTACTCCCTGTGTTCTCCTCTAGGACTTTTATGGTTTCAAGTCTCACATTTAGGTCTTAATCCATTTTGAATTTATTTTTGTGTATGGTGTAAGAAAGTGGTCCAGTTTCATTCTTTTTGCATGTTGCTGTCCAGTTTTCCCAACACTATTTGTTGAAGAGACTGTGCCCCCCCCATTGGATATTCTTTTCTGCTTTGTCGAAGATTAATTGACCATATAGCTGTGGGTTCATTTCTGAGTGTTCTATTCTGTTCCATTGATCTATGTGTCTGTTTTTGTGCCAGTACCATATTGTTTTTATCACTACAGCTGTGCAGTATAACTTGAAGTCTGGAACTGTGATGCCTCCCTTAATTTCTCTTCCTGCTGCTTCATTACTGATGTATAGAAATGCAATGGATTTCTGTACTTTGATTTTGTATCCTGCAACTCTACTGAATTCGTGTATCAGCTCTAGCAGTTTTTTGGTGGAGTCTTACAAGTTTTCTATATAAAACATCATGTCATCTGCAAAGAGTGAAAGTTTGACTTCTTCTTTGCCAATTTGGATGCCTTTTGTTTCCTTTGTTGTCTGATTGCTGTGGCTAAGACTTCCAGAGCTATGTTAAATAACGGTGGTGAGAGTGGATGTCCTTGTCTTGTTCCTGACTGTAGAGGAAAAGCTCTCAGTCTTTCCCCACTGAGGATGATATTAGCTGTGGGCATTTCCTATATGGCCTTTGTTATGTGAGGTATGTTCCCTCTAACCCTACTTCAAGGATGTGGAGAAAGGGGAACCCTCTTGTACTGTCGTTAGGAATGCAAACTGTTGCAGCCACTCTGGAGAACAGTGTGGAGGTTCCTCAAAAACTTAAAAATAGAACTACCCTACAAAGAGGCAATTGCACTACTAGGTATTTACCCAAGAATACAAAAATACTAATTTGAAGAGATACATGAACCGCGATGTTTATAGCACCATTGTCTACAGTAGCCAAATTATGCAAAGAGCCCAAATGGCCATTGCCTGACGAATGGATAAAGATGTGGTTATATATACAATGTAATATTATTTATCCATAAAAAAAGAATAAAATCTTGCCATTTGCAACAACATGGATGGAGCTAGAGAATATTGTGCGAAGTGAAGTAAGTCAGAGAAAGACAAATACCATATGATTTCACTCATATGTGGAATTAAGAAAAAAAACAAATGAGCATAGGGAAAGAAGAGAGAGAGAGAGAGGCAAACCAAGAAACAGATTCTTAACTCTGGAGAACAAACTGATGCTCACCAGAGGGAAAGTGGGTGGGGGGTGATAGGGATTAAGGAGTGTACTTGTGCTGATCACCGAGTGTTATATGTAAGTATTGAAGCACTAAATTGCACTTCTGAAACTAATATTACACTGTATGTTAACTAACTGAAATTTAAATAAAAACTTTTTTAAAAAAGCCTAGTTTCTTAATAGTCCTAGTCTGATTCATTAGTATAATCTCATAATTAATATCAGAGATTGGAAAACAATAAAATATCATGGAGTTCTCCTGAATTGCATTTGGGATTTAGACTCTGAGTTATTTCAAGACACTTATATTTTGAAATTTAGACCTAATGGCATTTAACTTGCTACTAACTTGGTCCAACATAAATGTACCTTTATATTCTGTGCTTAGAGTGGGAAATAAAGATTACGGTTTCATTTAAACATAGTAGGGAGGAGGAAAAAATACCAAAGATATGTGGAATTAATTCTAAAATGTTATACATATTATATTCCCTTATTGAGAAGTATCCTAGTATTCCCAAACTGAATATTTAGAAAATCTCTAAGACCATCAACACATTTATGAATATGTATTTTCCTTCCTATTTTCTTTAGTTTTCCTTTAAAACTAAAATGAAAATACAATCAGATATTGCATATTGACAGGTATAACAAACGCACTGACTTACTTAGCTCATAAAGTTTTGACATCAGCACTGTTTCCCTAAATGTATTTTAAACCCTTATAATTCTTTACATGTGAACTTCATAAAGTAATGATATGGATATGCCAAATATCCAATTCTTATTTTTGTGCAATAATGATTAGTTAATAGATTGACTGAAAATAGTATCCTGTTTACAACTCCATTATTCCATTTGTAATAACGTTGGCATCCTCGAATTGTAAACATGTTTCTAGTTAAAATTAAATGTTTACACATGATGAACACAGTCTTCTTGTTTTACTCTTTCTAGATTAATCATTTTGCATAGGAACATCTAAGTCTCAATCTCTAAACTATAGGATAAATCATAAAATTAAAAGAATAAGAATCTGAAATCCAGGATGGTTTTGTTATTCATTCAAGATGTGAACTTGGCCAATCACTTCCTCTTCTTGTCACCTGTTTTCCTCATCTGAAGAGTGAATCTGTTTCATTTCATGGTTTTCACTTTTCAGCAGTAGAAGCCTCTTGTCAGACAATATCTTATGCATAATTTCAGCATGTATATTAAAAATAATAATAATGGAGCTTCTCTTATAGAAACAGGAATGATGGAGAAGGGCAGTGGAGTAGGGTTGGGGATTTTAGAGCCCAATCCTATATACTGAGTAGTCCTCACCTTCCAATACAACCTGTTGGAGATGGCTCTACATCAAATAATTCCTTGAGTTCCATGGACCATATTTTGAAAATCATGTAGTTATATATGATCATTACATTTCTTTAAAATTCCAAAATAATGTAATTCTCAATTTCATAAATTGAGATGTCTTTCAAAGTGCTGAAAATCCTGTTGTACTTTAAAAAAAAAAAGAAATGTACAAATAAGTAGGTTTCAATTTATGCTAAGAAAGATTCTAAGGTAAAAAGCTCACACGTCATACTAAAGCCACTGACTTAAGTATTCCATAGAACAGTGCTATAATCCCAAATAGTTTCTATTTTAGGAAATAAATAAATTGATAAAACTCCAAAGAACCCTTCAACATTCAGAAAAATCACAGAAGTCCTTTAGTTAAATGTTAATTCTCTTGCCCGTCTTTATTCTTCACTGGGGAGATGAGAAAAAAAGTTAATATAGGAGTTAAATTTAAAGGCAGAATATGCTTGGGGCACCTGCGTGGCTCAGTACGTTAAGCATCTGCCTTCAGCTCAGGTCATGATCCCAGGGTCCTGGGATTAAGTCCAGCATTGGACTCCCTGCTCAGCCAGAAGCTTGCTTCTCCCTCTCCCTCTGCTGCTCCCCCTGCTTGTGCTCGCGCGTTCTCTCTCTCTGTGTCAAACAAACAAACAAACAAACAATCTTAAAAAAATAAAATAAAGGCAGAATGTGCTTAAAAGCTTTTTTTCCCTTCCTAACTTTGGTTACCAGTGAGTGAACACTTCCATCAGTACACACATACACACCCACTAGACTCTTGCAGCCATAGTAGGTAGAGCATTAGAAAATGAGGTAGAAAAGAACACGTTCTCCAGAATCTTAAATTGCTCAGAAGAAGAAAAGCCTGTAGGAGATGGAGTTCTTCACCAGGGACCACTTCGTTAGCCTGCTACTGACATGGATTCGATGGTTACGAGGCAGGGGTGATGTGTTTTCACTGTTGCTAATTTCTGATGTCCTTTCTGAGCAAGGGTTCTCTATCTAAAATTAAGAAAATGAAAAAAAGCAAACTTTTAATCCCACAAGGACCCAAAGTGAACTTGTCCCAGCAGTTACCTTATATAGACCCTCTGACACACTTATCCTTTTGCAAAAATACCGAGTACAGATCATTACTTTCTGACACTCATGTGCAGAGACCTACTTTATAACACTTCAGGGAAGTTAATGTACTAGATCTTGAAATGTCTTTCTGGAAAGTGAAGTAACTTATGGTTTTCTTCTAGTGGCACTGTTAACTCTTGTATCATTTTCAGGTCCATGGGGCCGATGCATGGGAGATGAATGTGGGCCAGGAGGCATTCAGACCCGGGCTGTGTGGTGTGCTCATGTGGAAGGTTGGACGACATTACATACAAACTGTAAGCCGGCCGAGAGACCCAGTAACCAGCAGATCTGTTTCAAAGTGTGTGACTGGCACAAAGAGTTGTATGACTGGAGCCTGGGACCTTGGAATCAGTGTCAGCCTGTGATTTCAAAAAGCCTGGAGAAACCCCTTGAGTGCATTAAGGGGGAGGAAGGCATTCAGGTGAGAGAGATAACATGCATCCAGAAAGAGAAGGACATTCCTGCAGAGGATATCATTTGTGAGTACTTTGAGCCCAAACCTCTCCTGGAACAGGCCTGCCTCATCCCCTGCCAGCAAGACTGCATTGTGTCTGAGTTTTCTGCCTGGTCCGAATGCTCCAAGACGTGTGGCAGCGGGCTCCAGCACCGGACGCGTCACGTGGTAGCACCCCCCCAGTTTGGAGGTTCCAGCTGCCCAAACTTGACGGAGTTTCAGGTGTGCCAGTCCAGCCCCTGCGAAGATGAAGAGAGCATGTACAGCTTGCATGTGGGTCCCTGGAGCTCGTGCTCGATGCCCCATTCGAGACAAGTAAGACAAGCAAGGAGACGTGGGAAGAATAAAGAACGGGAAAAGGACCGAGGAAAAGGAGTGAAGGATCCAGAAGCCCGGGAACTTATTAAGAAAAAGAGAAACAGAAACAGACAGAACCGACAAGAGAATAAATATTGGGACATCCAGATTGGATATCAGACCAGAGAGGTTATGTGTACTAACAAGACGGGGAAGGCTGCTGATTTGAGGTAACATTTTATAACCATTAACTGGGGGTGGCTCTCTGTCAAGGCCATGGGCTAGAAAGTACTTAAGGCTCTGCTGTACTAAGTCCCGAGATTCACATGTGCACAACCTAGAATGAGCTACCCGCAAGTATAACATGTTCTATTTTAAGGCACTTAAGCTTTTGTGGGTTTCCTGACATGATCTCTGTTTTGCTCATGTTTAGGCACTCTACTCCTAGAGTTCATTTAAATGTTCCTGTCAAAGATCTATCATGAGCTCTTCTCCATGAGGTATTACTACTTTTTTAGGTCAGTCGTGCTGTTTCCACCTACAATGGGGGAAAAAGAAAACTTACTTAGAAGGTACAGTTTGGGGGTTTTGAATTCAGATACTTATTTTAGTGAGAATAAAGCACACTTGTAATCTCTCCAAGTTTATAACATTTTCAGAATTACCCTATACAAAAAATCTAAGCAACCACCCAGGGAGCTATACCTAAGAATAATTCACATTTTATAAAATGGAATAAATCTCCCTAGAGGGAAAAAGGGGAACCAGAAGAAACTAAGGTAAGTAGACATTATTTAATCATGAGTAGCCTAGTTTAGAAAATATGTAATTAATTGGCTGCATGTTCTAGACAAATTATATGTCAAATGATCTCTGGGTAAATAATGACTATGTTATGAAAGGCTTTCTCATGTGTGATTTATTTGTTGTGAAAATATTCATTGAGGATTATTCATTGAGGATTATCTAAAGGATATGATGTTCTCTGGATATTCTAAATTTTGCTCTTGGATAAGCCAGACCATCTGGGAGTGTCTTATCTGGATCATTTGCATAATTGCTTTTCTGGTACTATTTATGCAGTTATGGTTTGGACTGAACTGAGTGAAATTATGGTAACATCACTCAGAATTTTATATCATCTTTATTGTAAAAATGACATTGAAAGTGTCATCTACTCCATCATGCAGTCTGTTCTCTTGATTAAAAACACATAAGATAAATTTCACTGAAGCCTCAACCCGTGTGCTCCTGGTGAGCAGCTGGGTTGCTTTCCTTATGGTCCTGGAAACCTTGTAACGGATCACCTGTTCCTGTTTGCTTTGGCTCCTGGGAGCATGAATAGGACTGTGGGGCAAGTGTGTTGCTCACCGACATATCCCACTGTCTTCATCTTTTTCTTACCATGATTTCCTTTCACTCATTCTTACCTAGTGATTTTGCCATCCATGGATTTTGAAAGCTGGTTGAAAGCCTTTTTAGTACAGGATATAGTTTAAAGAAATGAGTAAACAAATAAACAATTGATATATCTAGACAATAATTTTTCTCAGCATAGTGTTGCTCCGGTCGCCATTTTTAGGATATGTGCTAGCCCCTCCCCTCTTTGTACTTACACAGTTGTATTTTCTCTCGGCCACACAGTAATCTGCTTTTTCTTCATCTAGTGACATCATTCCAACTCCTTTCTTGGTCTCATTAGTGGTTGCTTGATCTCCTGCCTTCATCTTCCAGGTTCCCTACAACTCCTTAAGAGTATGCGTATGTACATGTGTTCACCTCTGATTCTGTATCATGTGAGTTTTCATTTCAATCCCTGTTTTACTCTTTTCTGACTATCCTTATTCAGCTGATTTCCTCATTTCTTTTCCTGAAATATTATAGTTATATTAGTTACTTGGCTCCCACCAAGTAATTAAATGAACCTCCAAGGCAACTTGAGTTGTATCCTGCTGTCACCAAGTTAACATGCTGTAGACATTTAATTTAATGTTGACCACTCAATTAAAAGTGTAATTAGGATAGTACCTACCACTGCATAGAGCCATAGAGCCTAATATTCCCATTTGATTGTTTGAAATAAGCAAACACATTTAAAAATTTGTAGATCATTTGTCAAATTCTTATATTCTATTAGAAATATCCTAATATAACTTATTAGGGTATAGGTTAAATTTAAATTGGTTATTAATATTTCTTGCATGTAAGAATTATACATAAGAATATATATGGATAAATACATATGATTAAGACAGTTAAAGTCTTAGTGAAGAAGAGATAAGAATCAGGTACTTTGACCTAGGTTTTGCTCAAACGTTGCACCACATCAGTGAAGCTAGTGAAATAAAGAGTAAATAGTTAACACCAACAAAGCAGAGGGCCACAGAGCACAGACTTGATGATCAAATTTAAGTCTTTCACCTTATATCAGATTCAGAAACAATTTTGTCATGTCAGAGGATAAAATAATCATTTAATAAGGCTAAAAACATCTGTTAGAGTGACAAAATTAATTTAGCTAAATAAACCTAAGAATCTTAGGGAAGCAGTTCATAGGAAAATAAATATAACTGTAGCAGAATTACTGCTAGAACTTCCAAGTTTCAGATGATAAATCTGGCCTTCTTTTTGCTTTCAAACATGAAAATCAATAATAATGAAAAATACAAATGAAAAGTCTGTTATTTCATGACAATAGGAAACAGTCACAGTCTCAAACCACAAATGACAGAGATTTAGAGAATGTGGCAAAATTAAACCTAACCAAAGGAAGAAACTTAGAAGGGTGTTATGTCTTTGCACCTTTTGTAAATACTCAAAATCTCTGAGTAGGCTGAACTTTGTGAGGGCCAGCCAATGACATCTCCTTAGTATGGCATGATCTGTGTTAAAAGAAAGGGCTGCTGAAGCATCTTTGAGTTTGTTTGAAAACAGATGGCATAATAGACAAAACTGAACAAGAAACTCACTATGCCATTACTGCCAAGAAAGGACTGCCAGTTTGATGGATTGAGGGATTAAAGTTTGATAACCAGTGGACGAGAATTCTAAATCACTACACATACACACCATGACACAGGGGGCTTCCCTATGAACCAGTGAATTTCAGCCAAGCTTAAGTAGAGTATTGCCCCAGGCCAAGAGTTGATACGAAAGTAAGGACAAGCAGTTCTCCAAGAAATCAGAGACAGTAAAGGAAATATGGTGTTTCTGAACCAAAAGCAGAATGAGGAGCTAAGAAAATTGAATGAGCTTAACTCATTAATTGAATGAGTGATTTGGCAGGGTGCCAAAAAGAAATGGAGGGGAATTAGAAACAAGAAAAAGAAATGGAATTTACATTAGAAGCAATAAAAAGTGGAAAAATATCTTGTGAAGAGGAGTCAGTGATATAGAGAACAATTTGAGAACGCCCAAGTAAACTAATTTTTTTAAAAAATGATGGATATGGAAACAAGCAAGGAAGATCACTCCATGAAACTCTGGTGTTCTTGAAGATAGGACCAGAAAAAACAAATAACAACAACAAAAAACCCCACAAAACATATAATAGAAGACTTTCCTGAAATTAAGACTTTAATCCACAGATTGAAATTGCACACAGGTAATATTCTTCTAGAAGAGGTTGAAATCATGTCCTCATGGAAGAACTGGTGTAAAATAATTTTTTTTAAAGATTTTATTTATTTGACAGAGAGAGACACAGTGAGAGAGGGAACACAAGCAGGGGGAGTGGGAGAGGGAGAAGCAGGCTTCCCACGGAGCAGGGAGCCCGATGTGGGGCTCAATCCCAGGACTCTGGGACCATGACCTGAGCCGAAGGCAGATGCTTAACAACTGAGCCACCCAGGCGCCCCCAAAACTGGTGTAAAATAATTTTTATAAGGAAAGACGAAGAGACATCAGACTGAAAGCCAGCGCAATACTCAAATTGTGAAACCCTAGAAGCATTTCTGTTGTAGTCAAAAATAAGACAGGACAGCACATTAACTCCACTTTTAGTTAACATTGATCTCTAAGTACTAGTTAATGTAGTTGAAAAGAGAAAGAAGTGAAAATTGGAAAGCAGGTGGAAAACTTAAGATTTTTTTTCCAGATATTATGACTGTACACTGGAAAACTCAAGAGAATCAATTGAAAATATAAACAATAAAATAACTCAATGAGGGGGGCGGTGGATGGACACAAAAATAATATCAAAACAATCAATATATTTCCTAGATGCAAATAACAATTAGTTAAACATTATGGTGGAAACAAAAGATTAAAATACTGCACTTACAAAAGTAAAAAAGACCATAGACCATAAGAGACTCTTAACAATAGGGAACAAACTGAGGGTTGCTGGAGGGGAAGGGGGGGGAAGGGATAACTGGGTGATGGGCACTAAGGAGGGCACTTGATGTGATGAGCACTGGGTGTTCTATGCAACTGATGAATCACTAAATTCTACCCCTGAAACTCATAAAGCACTATATGTTAACTAACTTGAATTTAAATAAAATTTTTAAAAGATTTTTTAAAAAGACGAAATCTGTAGACACACCGAACTATAAAAGTTCTGCATAGAGGGCGCCTGGGTGGCTCAGTTGGTTAAGCAACTGCCTTTGGCTCAGGTCATGATCCTGGAGTCCCGGGATCGAGTCCCACATCGGGCTCCCTGCT